TGAAGATGATGAAGATGAACGAGCTGAGGGAGATGAAGCAGATGATGAAGATGAGGGAGATGAGGGAGATGAAGAAGATGATAAAGATGAAGATGATAGAGTTCAACGAGCTCAGCGAGATGAAAGAGATGAAGGAGATGATGAAGATGATGAAGATGATGGAGATGATGGAGATGATGAAGATGAAGGAAAAAAAGGATATTAAGGAGATGACGAAAAAGATGAAAATGATGATGCCCCCCCCCCTCCCAGAATTAAAAAATTTAAAAAATTTAAATCCGAAACGCCCCTTTCGGATTTAAATTATTTAAATTATTTAATTCTGGGAAGGGGGGGGGCCCGGTCCTGCCCCCCCCCCTTTTCGGATTTAAATTATTTAAATTATTTAAATTATTTAAATTATTTAATTCAGGGGGGGGAATTAAATAATTTAAATAATTTAAATCTGAAAGGGGGGGTTCGGATTTAAATTATTTAAATTATTTAATTCCCCCCCCCCGGAATTAAATAATTTAAATAATTTAAATAATTTAAATAATTTAAATAATTTAAATAATTTAAATCCGAAAAGGGGGGGGGGCCAGGCCCAGGCCCCCTCCCCCTCCCAGAATTAAATAATTTAAATAATTTAAATCCGGAACGCCCCTTTCGGATTTAAATTATTTAAATTATTTAATTCTGGGAGGGGGAGGGGGCCGGGGCCTGCCCCCCCCCCCTTTTCGGATTTAATTTATTTAAATTATTTAAATTATTTAAATTATTTAAATTATTTAATTCCGGGAGGGGAATTAAATAATTTAAATCTGAAAGGGGGGGTTCGGATTTAAATTATTTAAATTATTTAATTCCCCCCCCCCGGAATTAAATAATTTAAATAATTTAAATAATTTAAATAATTTAAATAATTTAAATAATTTAAATAATTTAAATCCGAAAAGGGGGGGGGGCCAGGCCCAGGCCCCCTCCCCCTCCCAGAATTAAATAATTTAAATAATTTAAATCCGGAACGCCCCTTTCGGATTTAAATTATTTAAATATTTAATTCTGGGAGGGGGAGGGGGCCCGGGCCTGGCCCCCCCCCCCTTTTCGGATTTAATTTATTTAAATTATTTAAATTATTTAAATTATTTAAATTATTTAATTCCGGGGGGGGAATTAAATAATTTAAATAATTTAAATCTGAAAGGGGGGGTTCGGATTTAAATTATTTAATTCCCCCCCCCCCGGAATTAAATAATTTAAATAATTTAAATAATTTAAATAATTTAAATAATTTAAATAATTTAAATCCGAAAAGGGGGGGGGGGCCAGGCCCAGGCCCCCTCCCCCTCCCAGAATTAAATAATTTAAATAATTTAAATCCGGAACGCCCCTTTCGGATTTAAATTATTTAAATTATTTAATTCTGGGAGGGGGAGGGGGCCCGGGCCTGGCCCCCCCCCCCTTTCGGATTTAATTTATTTAAATTATTTAAATTATTTAAATTATTTAAATTATTTAATTCCGGGGGGGGAATTAAATAATTTAAATAATTTAAATCTGAAAGGGGGGGTTCGATTTAATTATTTAAATTATTTAATTCCCCCCCCCGGAATTAAATAATTTAAATAATTTAAATAATTTAAATAATTTAAATAATTTAAATAATTTAAATAATTTAAATCCGAAAAGGGGGGGGGCCAGGCCCAGGCCCCCTCCCCCTCCCAGAATTAAATAATTTAAATAATTTAAATCCGGAACGCCCCTTTCGGATTTAAATTATTTAAATTATTTAATTCTGGGAGGGGGAGGGGGCCTGGGCCTGCCCCCCACCCCCTTTTCGGATTTAATTTATTTAAATTATTTAAATTATTTAAATTATTTAATTCCGGGGGGGGAATTAAATAATTTAAATAACTTAAATCTGAAAGGGGGGGTTCGGATTTAAATTATTTAAATTATTTAATTCCCCCCCCCGGAATTAAATAATTTAAATAATTTAAATACTTTGAATAATTTAAATAATTTAAATAATTTAAATCCGAAAAGGGGGCGGGGGGCCAGGCCCAGGCCCCCTCCCCCTCCCAGAATTAAATAATTTAAATAATTTAAATCCGGAACGCCCCTTTCGGATTTAAATTATTTAAATTATTTAATTCCTTGCCCCAGACCCCCCAGAAACGATAATAGGGTCTATTTGGAAGTTGTCTCTTGTAAATAAGTATACGTTTTGGGGCCTTATTTCCTCTTTAAAACACGAGTCTCAGCTTCCAAATAGACCCTATTTAAGCTGCACACCCCCCCCCCCCCCCCCGCACCCTCCCACAGGGGGAGCTTTCGTGACAACATGTGTGGGAGCATTGTCCTTCTTCAGTTGCCTTGCAGGGAGAGCCTTACCCAGAATCCCGTTGAAGCCTGGCGAAACCTAACTGCGCAAAGGAATGCGTATTGTAAGATATCCTTTCACGGTGATGCTCGGATTGGACCGGCGACGCGTCCAGTGCAAGGTTTGTTGCCCCCCTCTCTTTGTGAAACTATGCTGGCGTCAGATGTGCTCAACATATCAAGGTTCTGTGCCTACGCGCATTTGGCAAATCAGTGCCTGTGTTTGGGAATGACTGGCCCAGCTGGTCGACAGATGTTGGTCCCTTGTTGTCACTTATTGTCGCGAACGGCCAAACCTCACCGAACGCACCATCTCATCTGACCTCAGAGTTTTTTGCAGCAGAGCCGCTAGTACTGGCTTGCACCAGCTGAAAAAACGTAGCTTGGGCAATGCTCCTAGCCATAAAGCTCACGGCAATGCTTTTGCTGTGGGGCCGCGAAGACGAAAATTCTGTGGGCATAGCCTTCTGTACAAGAGAACCATGTGATACACGAGAACTCACTTCGAGTGTCTCCCTCTTCCCTCCCTTTTCTTGCTTTTTCACCTCCGAGGTTTGAGAGGCCCAGGGCTTCCCATGCGCCAGGAGCGCTTGTCCTCCTGTGCCCCCCTGTGACCTTCGCGGCTTACGTGAGCGAATTGGCCTTCCGACCAGTTCTTGTGTGTGATACGGTCAATCTGTTGCAGACGTGCCTGCGATGCATACATTTCCGGCATGTGCTCTCCATGATCGATGGTCGCTTGTTGGGTCGGTCAGTCTGCACAGCCGATTTCTTTCTCACTTTATTCTTCTTCTTCTTCTTCTTCTTCTTCTTCTTCTTCTTCTTCTTCTTCTTCTTCTTCTTCTTCTTCTTCTTCTTCTTCTTCTTCTTCTTCTTCTTCTTCTTCTTCTTCTTCTTCTTCTTCTTCTGCCGTCTCTCTCCCTCTCTTCTTCTTCTGTCGTCTCTCTCCTTCTCTCTCTCTCCTCTCTCTCTCTCTCTCGCTCTCTCTGTCTTTTGCGGAGTGGGGTTTCGCTCTCTTCCTCTCTTTCTCACTCTGCCTCTGCCTCTCCTTCTCTCACCGGCCACCGGCTTTTACCTCTTTTTTCTACCCCTTTTTTACCTCTTGTTGTGTGCAATCTGGAATGGCCTCCAAAGAGCCGCGAGGCCGAAGAGCACGTTCAACAAAGCCTCCCAAAGGACCACGGAGGCTGTGGAGTAGGGCAAGCACCTCCAAGCGCATTGGGGAAGCGTAAACGCTGCAGACGACGCAACTGCTGACCCCACACAATGTTTAAGCTTTAGACATCACAAAACCGACGTCAGGTTTTCTTGCGACTGTGAAACCTGGACTTGACTCAAGGGCCCTGTGAGCCAATACGGAGTCCAGAGAACACAGTTCACGTGCTCCTCTCATGACCGGTCCTTATGGGGACATACTGCGGCTGCAAGATGCTTGAAGAGCTAGGCATCGTGCATAGTACTGGGTTTGTGGGATTCGTCAAGCAGTCGGTTGGTTGCACCATACTTGGTCACCTGCTCCTGCGAAAGCCTCAACGCTTTTCAGGACAATCAACATCAGATGTGGGATCATACCAATTTGAACCTGATCTGCTGTGACCATACAGTTTTGCCAGAAGGTTCTGACATGCTCCGGTCCTTTTCAGGCACTCTGCCGGGTATAAACCCAGGCAGGGTCACGACATAATTAGGTCCGACGCAAGCTTCAGGACAGAAGTAAGACGGCCCGAGACACCACCATCTCACATAGCATGGGCCGGCATGGGCCGGCAACAGATGTGGTTATCTGGATGAAGCACGCAGGAGGTGGGGACACAAGCACACAGAGGTGCAAGATGGTGCAAGCTAGAGAGGCCCTCAACCTGGAGCTGCCCGAGCGCATTGACGCTTGGAGTGCACAGGAAATGAGCGGGTTCGGCGGGTTGCACGCAGCTCGCCCAGGCCCTTTGTTACTGCGGAAGCTGGACTTGACTCAACGGCCCTGTGACAGTTCGCGCCTTACTCTCACACCCTCATACGGAATCAACACACAGTTCGTGCCTTACGCTCACGCTAGTGCAAGTGCCGCTTAGCTTCAAACATTTCACAGGAGGCTCGCCTCGCACCCTTGACCCCCCCAGGCAAGTACTTCGTGGCCGTTCGGGACGTGTCCACCTTAACACATGTCGCACAGAAATCGCAGGGACAATGTCTTCAAGAGAGCTCCCAGCCATGATCGGCATCAGCAGTCCCATGAACAGGGTGACCTCAAAGGGGAGGATTATGACTATGAAGCATTGTTCCCAAAAAGACGCCTCTGCACCTGTTCCTGATATTTCTTTCACACATCACCTTCTGCACACTTGGGCAGTGACAAGGCAAAGGAAGAAGTTTGCCAAGGAGGCACCAATGCTGGTCTGAACTCTTTCGGGTGCCTCACATCTGGTGCGGACACTCGAGGAGAAAACGTGCGAAAGCATAGAGGAAAGGGTGAGCAGAGGAGGAAAGAGGGACTCGCTTCGGCTCGCTTCTCCGTGCCTTGGGTTCGGCCATCAGCGCAGAAGGCCTCAATCCGATGAAATGGAAACTTTTAAAACCAAAACTGGCACTCAAAGCGACCCCTGCAAGTGTTAAGACAGGCGATGTCCGTATCAGCACGATTAGCTGCCGAGCGGCTCTGAACCCTCATCAATCTTGGGCGGCATGCAGAAGGCACCCAGCTCGTGGTCATATTTCTCCACATTCCCCAATCGTCTGAAAGGGCTTAAGGAGAAGGATGCAGAAGGGAAATGGGGAGCGAGAGGGAAAGGGGGAACATGGGAGAACCACATTGACCACCTTGAAAGCAACGCAAACGCGTGTTTTGCAGCCAGGGCCTCTCAGTCGGGGACAGGTCCTTTGAGTACACCGGCTCCTCCGTCCGGCGCCGCGTCCTGGACACGAGACAGCAAGGAGCGTTTGCAATTAACATCACGCAAGGAAAACACAACAGGAATGATTGGAACCGCACCAGGTCTCACTGACTTGGGAAGCTCGGGGAGCTTGCACCGTGCTCGCCTCGATGCGCAGCGGATGTGAAAACGGGTCAGCCCGAGCGGTGAACGCAGGCCGCACCCTCTCACGCAGACCCATCGGCTCACCAATCTCACCATCGCCCTCCAAGTCCATGGGACCTGTCGAGCGAACAGCGCGCAGAGCGCAGAGAGAGCGCAACTCTGTGAGGCCTGTTTCGGCTCAGGGCTCAGGGCCGAATCGTTTTCCCATCTCACAAGCACAAATGGCTCACAGCAACCTTACGAAGTGTAGGACGAATGTAGGGGCACCCGCCATAATCTATGTCAATCCCACTACCACAAAACAACACTCCAAGACACCTCCCTGAAATCTTTGGAAAATTTGTGATCAGCAAACAGCAAGTCGGAGGCATCTCTCGTGGATCCTTGTCTATCAGAGCAATAAGGGCTGCAGTGAGTCAACGCGATACAAGACCATGCATACAGTGGCATACAGTACCGGACAGCTTCCCACCCTCATCCATTTTTCCAAAGCGGCTGCCTGAACTTGCTGAACGGGGTCCAGTCTGAACAGCTGACTTGAGGACTCGAGCACATTCGAGCACTCAGCACCTCGCTTCGGTCGTTCCGGTCACTGGACAGACGTTGAGGCGCTAAAGTCCAAAGTGGCTTCCTTGCCGTGCTGTTCACCGCAGTCGCTCAGCATCCGCTGCCGTAGCCGGCACAGTCTGAGGTTTTGTGACATGTCGGCATTCCCGTATCCCGGATGTCAACCCACGTACTTCAGGTGCGTGTTGCCCGATTGGAGGCCTTGCGGAGCGTCCGCTGGTTGGGCCGTCGTCTCACTTCCAGTTATGCCCTGCAGCAGCTTGGCCTGTCATGAACAAAGAAAGCATCACAAGGGATTCACAACGGCGTCACGGGGCACCTTGGCCTATTCCCCCCCCCCCCCCCCAAGTGCAGCACCCAGTGGTGGAGCCGTTGCTGCGAGAGCCGATGATAGGGCAAGTCAGCCTTGCGGGATGTCAAGAAGTGCTCTCCGTTGCTTGCGGCTTACATAGTCTTACTGAGTCTTACTCGTATTGGGGCGCAAACACTCTCCAGACTTTCCAGGGCATAGAGCAGCAGCCCCTGTGAAGCGCGAGCCGACAAAGCAACAAAAAAAACAAAACACCTTCTTTGACAACGTTTGACAACGTTGACACTCCTCGGGCGCTTGGAAGGCCAGCCTTGACAGGATGCGAAGACAATCGAAGACACTGAAGACACTTTGACACTTTGTGTGAGACACTCGCTTGCCAGCCTCCAAAAAAAATAAGACATCTCCAAAGAAAGCAAATAATTACTGCTGACTGTTCATCCTGCTTAATTGCCAAATATTGCACGATGCATCATTGAATCAGCGCTCTGAGAACTGCTGGGCGCCGTGCCCGACCTTTGCTGCAGCGTAGCGGTGCTTGGAACTCTGCGTGAAGGACCCTGGCAGCTGGCTCCACACAACGTATTATGAGCTACCGTGGCGCAATTTGGCCACATTTGCTCCCAGCGGCTTTGGAGGAGAAAACTTGTGAAATGACAGAGACAAACCCTGCGGCTGGTGCCTCCTCGTGCAGTGGCTCGTAGCTCACGAGCTGCGCGTTCCAAGAAATCCTGTGATCCAGAAATGCTCTCGGCAGGATCTACAAATTCAGCACCCAGCCTGCGCGCAGGAAACCTTCGTGACACAGACCTGCAATGATATGCACTTAGGGCCCACCTCCCTTCAAGTCATCTCTTGCCTGCAGGTGCGGGCTGTCTCGGCTCATGATGGCATAGACCACCTCCAAGCTGGAGACAACAAGCGGGACACAAAGGCCTTAGACTCTTTATTAGACACAAAGCCCCGCAAAGGTCGGCCCATTTCGGCCGCCTTCCGGGCTTCCAGGAGCGTGCGTTGTCCTGACAACGTCATCGTTGCTTGCGGTGAAGAAATGTTCTCTTCAAGGCAGTCTTCCCCTTCTTACGTGGCCCTCACCACGGCAAAGCCGAGCGGCCGTGTGCAATGACACTCTGATCCACCACCGGCTCTCTCCGGCGGCGCTCGGCCTTCGACTCAGCAAGAGAAAATTCTTGATAGGTTGCAACAACCTCTGTTGAAAATCCATAAACGGAACTTGTAAACGGATCATTAACATGATATCGTGGTGTTCTTCTGGTTCTCATTCTCACATGTCTCTCTCCTCAGCGAGACTGTGCAGGCGCTGCACGTGCATCGGGAATCGCCAGGGCCGGAGGAAGATCTGACAAGAAAGCGCATCCAAGAAGCATGCTGCATCTCTCAGCAGACGTACAGAATCCAGCACCTCATCAAAGGCTTCCTGCCAGCCAAGTCACTGTTTTTGCAAGTCTTGCCCGTTGACAAAATAGAATGCGCACACTCACCAAGGCGCAAAACGCAACACAAAAACCGTCGGAAAAAACAAAGAAACAGCGGTGCTGAAGATGGACTGCAAGCTTGACGCTTTGGCTATGGAACGATGATGAATCATCGGCCATGAGCCCTTGAGCCGATGTGCAATGGAGCTGACGTCAAGGCTTGGCCAAGCCAGAGCACAAGTAGACAAGGCAAAGAAAGCAACCATGTTTCAAAGGTGGAAAATCGAGCAAATACGGCCTGCAGGCGCTCGACAGGCGCCAGGGCTGCAAACCGTCGAGCCATAGCCCTCCCCCTTTGAAGGCTCCTGGAGTTATTTTCCGCCCTTTCTTATGGTTGATAAACAACCGAACGGAAACAAACACCACACCGCCTTGTCATCCGGCAACATGCTATGCAGCATTTGCGCATGACACGTGCAAGACTTCGCAAACAGCACGAGAAGTGTGCTTATCTACCATGAACAAAGCTGGAAATGCCTCGGCGGATGTGCCAAACACATACTCCAAGAATTGTGCGAAGTGAAGAATTTTGGGGTTGCTTGCATTTGGGGCGCTTGGGAATGGTTGCATTGGGGCACGTGGGTTTTTAAGCCTCAACGTACCGTATTTTCACGGGTTTTGAAGGTTCTAACACTACGAGAAGCTTCAAAAACACACTAAAATTCGAGAAGCGCAATAGTTCCAAAAGCTCCAAAAGTTCCTCGAACAGTTCCAAAAGTTCTAAAGGTTCCAAAAGCTCTAGAAGTTCTAAAGGTTGCAGGTTCTGGTCCCAGATCTGCGAGAGCTTTGAACATTTAGAACTTTTGGAACTTCTGGAACTTTTTGAACTAGCTCCAAGAATTCCAAGAGTTCTCAAGGCTCCAAAAGTGCTAAAAGTTCTACATGCCATGAGTTCTAAAAGCCCTAGAAGCTTGCAAAGTTTTAAGAATTCGAGAGAAATTCGAAAAACAACTCCCAAAATTCCAAAATCGCAAAGATCCAGAAGTTTGGAAAATGCTGAAAGTTCTTAATATGCTACAAGTTCTACACGTTCCAGAAGTTCTAGAGGCTTGCAAAGCTCCCAAAGATTTAGCGATCTAAACAGCTCGAAAATCGAAGAACTCCAAAACATCACTCGTTCTCTGCAGCCCTTTGCCGAGGTCCGCCTCCTGGGCACTTCTTAACCCCGGATATCCGCACACTTTCAGGATTTATTTGGGTGTTAGGGGAGGGGGGCGAGAGGGACGGGGGACTACGGAACAAGGGGCCGAGGAAGCATCCAACACGAAGGGAGACAAAGGGAGACAAGCAGAGACACCGGCCACTCAAACCCGGCACAGGCGGCATCCAACACGAAGGGAAACAAAGGAGACAAGTGGAGGCACCGGCCACCGCCAAACAGGCATCCAACACCAAGGGAGACAAAGGGAGACAAGTGGAGGTGAAAATGTTTTGAACTCTCAAAGACGCCTTCAGATGCAACTCAATCTCAAAGTGAAACATCTGAGTGCGTGAAATACTGCAAACCAAATCACATCATAAAATGGGGACTTTCGATACGGCAAAATGTTCAACACCCCGCCTCGATGCTGCATTGAGCTGGCGGAATGCTTGCTTCGTCTACTTCACATTTGCCGATGCCCCACAGGAAACAACAACATACTTAGTTCAGGACTGCACTCCAAAAGTGTTGGCGTCTTCTAAGCTCTGCCTCAACGGTCTTTGGCTTAGCTACAACTACGCAGCACTGTACAGCTACGGCCTATGCAGAATCTCTTCCCACCGGCTGGTAAGGACAGAGATGTAGATGCTTGTATGGCCCAAGCGCAAGCACACAAGGTCTTTTCAAGATCTCGTCCAAGATTGCGATGGCCTAGTTACCATCAGGGCACGATTGCCCTCTGCGGGTTCAGGGTGCTCCACACCCATCACAGTCGATGTCTGGTTGTCACAACGAGATTGACACCAAATTGGTGTGAGAAAGCTGAAGAGAGATTGCTGGATTTCAAGTTCCACACGGACTGGCAAGTGAAGTTTCATGAGCATCACAAGCTATGTACATAAAGCTATATACATGCGACCACTGCGCAGCATCATGAACATTTCCAAGTGGAAAGAAAACACTGAATCACCCCCCACATACTTTGCATGGCTGATAGCCTCGCCTCATGGCTTCACGCTTGCTGTACCTGAGTATCCGCTTCGCACACTTCAGCTGCAGACACTCCCGCACACGGTGAAATGCATATCCACGGCTTGCAGTCACGAACACAAAGCGGCGTTCATCAGGATCTCGGATTGGCGGAAGGTCTGGCGTCCGAAGTGGTGCACTAGGCTGCCCGGTGCCTGGTACTGCAGACGAAGGTGCAGCCGTCGGATCTGGCTCATTTTCACTCGTGTCTCCATCTGTTGCTTGCTGTGGCAAGTTAAGGTTGGGGTCTGTCTTAGGGACCTCGGCGGGTTCGGGACTTTTCCTATCCCCAGGAACCGAAACCCCACTAACCTCTACGTGCACTCGCACAGTGGGTGCACTTGCTGCTTTTGCCTCAGCAGCCTCACGCAGATGTGTCGCTCTGTTCCGTCTGCAACAGAACCAGATACACATAGCAACGAAGATCACGATCTGGGTAAGTGTCAGGCTCACTAGCGGCTGATTAACCATGAAGTCATGGATCAAGAAAATCGCATGTAGCACTTTTTCAAGAAAACTCCACAGCATGCTCTCGTAGCCACCATCAGCCTAGGGTTCTGGCCCAAGGCGTCAGCACTGGTATTGGGCTCATCTGGGTTGACACCAGCGATGCTATCAAGCTGAAGGATTAACGCAAGAACCTGAAGAACTTGTTGCACGTTCACTGATCCCTTCTTGACTACTCTGCAAATCTTCCGTCGCGATTCGTGATCAAGCAGCTCTGACTCACTGACAACCTGAAACCCATTGTCCTTGCAGCGCACGTTCAGCCTTCCAAGCAGGAACTCAATCCTCTCAGGCTTAAGTGCTTTCGTCGGCAAGTCCGACACGTTGTCTCGCGTGCCTACGGGAATCACCTCAAGAAGTTTCTCCTGTGTCTTTTGCTGCAGCCACAGCAACTTCCCGTCTATGTGCCGTGTTCGTCCTACCCCTTGCCGATTGCCAAGGGATCTGGCGGCAGCATTGTCGCATAGGCACGACAACTTCACATCAAGGTCTGGGCACACGTGGCATATGCAGTTCTGCAACAGGATGGCGGCGGCGCTGCCTGCAACAAGCGAGTTATACTCGGCTTCACACGACGACAGGCTTATAACCTTTTGTGTGTGAGAGCTTGAATACAGCAGTTGGCCATCCCATACCACGCAACAAGCGGACACGCTGCGGCGCGTGCGCTTGTCTCCACTCCAGTCGCTGTCTGAGAACATCTCGAGCACTGAGGTTTTGTGCTCAGACACACGGTTGCACACCAGCCCCTTTCCCAAGGTGGGCTTTGAAAGCCCGAGGGTGAAGGATCAAAAAAAAATAAATAAGCATCAAAAAAAAAATAACCCCAAGGGATCAAAAAAAAATAAATAAGCATCAAAAAAAAATTAACCCATTTTCCTCTTGGAATGCAGCGGGGGGGGGGGGGTTGGGGGGGGGTTGGGGGGGGGGGGGTTGGGGGGTGTTGGGGGGGGGGTTGGGGGGGGGGGGGGGAGGGTTGGGGAGGGGGGGTGGTTGGTGGGGGGGTTGGGGGGGGTTGGGGGGGGTTGGGGGGGGTTGGGGGGGGGGGGGGGGGGGGGGTGGTGGGGGGGGGTTGGGGGGGGGGGCGCAGCCCCCTTTTCATTTGCAAACACAATGCTCGCATGATGGGTAGTAGTGGGTGGTGATCTTTTCATAGGAAAACCTCTATTTCTTCATATTCCCACAAGAAAACCTCTATTAACTTCACGTTATCATAGGAAACCTCTATCATCTCTATGTTTCCATCGGAAAACCTCTATTTGCATGTATTTTAAGAAAAACTTAAACTTTTTAGTATCCCAATGGCTTCAACAAGATTCATAAAGCACGCTTTGCAGTGGCACAGCTTGATAAAAACGCGGCGGGGTTGGGGTTGGCGCAGCCCCCCCCCCTCCCCCCACACCCCCCCACTTGGCTTTGCAGCACGCTTTGCACAGCTTAAAACAGCGGGGGAAATGGGGGGGGCTGGCAAACAATGTTCGCACGATGCGTAGAAGTGGTGGTAGTGGTTGGAAAACCTTCTAGTTTCTCGATCTTTCAATGGGAAAACCTCTATTTCTTCATACTCCCACAAGAAAACGTCTACTGTCTTCGCGTTTTCATGAGAAATCCTCTATTATCTCTATGTTTCCATCGGAAAAACTCTACTTCTACATGTTTTAAGCAAAAAACTTCCATTTTCTTTGCATTCCAATGGCTTCAAAGAACAATATATAATACATACTACATAATATATAAAATATACTATATAATCAATGCTACCCCCCCCCCCCCCAGCGACCTACCCTTTTTAGGCCTTTTTAGGCCTTTTTAACAAAAAATTACAAAGAAGGCCCAAAAGTCGCGTAGTTAATCACCGGGTAATGAAGGACAGTTACTGGGACACCCACCTCACAGACCCCGATAAGCTAGCATTGGAAGAATCTACATTTTGAATCTGAAGCGGACAATGCTGTTTTTAGATGTTTAGATCAGTGTTTTTTCTATGCAAATTGTGTGTTTCAAGGGCAATTAATGTTTTGTTGAGCAACTGATTTATTTATACAATTGCGTTTGTACGAGGCAAAGTATTAATCAAATAGTGAAACATTTTTCTTGGTTCTATGCGAATTTAGCTGCTAGAGTAATTATTAAGCAAAGAGCCCAATTTGACTCAAGTGAATACTATTTAAAGGGCATACTCAACCAAGATACGAAATAAACACCATTTTCAACCAAGAAATGGCAAAGTGTGCGTTTAAAGTGCAAATACTGTATTTATACAATTGTGTTTGTACTAGGCAAAGTATGCTCTCTGAAAAGTCCACTGAAATACCTTATGTTTACATATTCATGAATCGTGTTTCTTTTTGAAATAATCAATTTATGCGAATTTAGCTACTAGAGTAATTATTAAGCAAATAGCCCAATTTGACTCAAGTGAATACCATTTAAAGGACCATACTCAACCAAAATACGAAAGAAGCACCATATTCAACCAAAATATGGCAAAGTGTGGTTTGAAGGGCAAATAGTGCTTTGTTGAGCAAC